TATGCCCTCAAGTGCTCAAGAGCCCTCAAGTGCTTAGATTGTTACTTAAAGTGAAGACAAAAAACACTTAAATGAGATATATAAAATACTAGCATAAGTAATTACTGCTTTACTAAGATTAACAAAATAGATTCTTAGAATGCTAAGTGATTTTTTATTAAATAAAATTTCATAAACTATAATAGGCAACCATTCACTGAAAGTTCACCACATTATTACAGAAATGCACGTACTATATCTTTGCTTAATTTATTATCCAAGTATAGAAATATTTAAAGTATTAAATAACGTATTAAACTATATATTAAAAGTAAGTAAACTTTTTTTGTTTTAATTTTAGAAAACAAAATTTATTTATTGAAATTGGGTTCGGCAAGATTTCGTTTGGGTTAAGTTAGAATCAAAAGCCCAATATTGACCCTTACCTCAGTAGCAACTAAATCGGTTTAGCATTTTAATCTTAACAAAGTCATATGAATACCACAATTTTCGTTTTAGTGGAGTTGATTTTAAATGCATAATCTAAAAGTATTTTATTGAAATTGGAATTTTTTCTATTGCAATATTTATAAATTCCAGTATATGCAGATACCCGATTTACAACATAAAATAATAAAATAATAAAAATCTAATAAAATAACCTTATTTAATAAATAATAATCTAAATGAGATAATTCCGAAGGTAAGATCTGTGACGGTAAATAATTTCGGCGAAAATGACTATTATGTCTCGTCATGGATATTTACGAAAATGTCTGTACAGAATGCATCCTAACTGTATGTACTGCGGATCAGTCGAGGATAATGCTGAGCATACTATCTTCAACTGCGACCATGGAGGACATGGAGAAAGAACACTACTTGCAGAATATATAGGTTGATTCAAAGTCGAGAATATTATTGAAAAAAAAAATGATAGAACGACCAAAAATTGAAACAAAACCACAGAATTCATCGGAAATATTCTGAAGGAAAAAAGAGCTGGACGCAAACTAATCTAAAATGAAGAGCAACCTTAAGATATTCCAATTTAGTTCAGGAGTGAGACCCTGGAAGCACAAGAAGCCAACTTATAAGGGATCCTCCATTAAGTAATGTGAAACCGGTCCCGGCGGGTGAACTTCCGCAAAAATAAAGGAGTTGTTTTAGTTCGTATGCTACACAATTGGAGTCGGACACACCATTCCGACAACGGTCAGTTTGACGGCGCATAAAGCATTTTTTTATAAAGTCGTAAGTAATATTTCATTTCTTTATAGTTTGTTAATAATTTTTATAATTATTAACTAATTTCATTTTGTGTTGTATATAAATGTTTATCCAACGGTATTTACAAACTGCTTATGAGATGAAAATTAGTTTTTATTTATTTATTTAAAATCTTTAAGCAAAAGGTAATAGATAAATTACCTTAGATTTGGTGAATACAACACCTGATAAACTATGTTTATTTGGCCTTTCATTTTTACTTATTATTTATCTTATTTATTTTATGTGACAAAATTTTCATATAATCTATGCCATACCAAAATTTATACACTTAAAACTAAATCTAGTTTTTCATAACCTGATGTAGAGAGATTTCAGAAAGTAGTAAACTAAAATAAAAAAAAATCTTTTTAAAAAGGTTTTTTCGAACAGTAGTGAACTAGAACAACAAAATTTTATTTTTTATATTATTTTAATAATTGAACTTTTGGCTGACCATACAGCCAAGTATTGCCAAATACCCATCATCAGTGGTCTTGGAAATAATTCTTGTATTTAATTATTCGTAAATTATTATTTTTGAGACTGCAAGTACCAAGATTCGAACTTAATTTAAAAATTCATTTTATAATAATAATTGAATTTTTGGTTGACAATACAGCTGTTTTGTGTATTCCTAAATATCCATCATCAGTGGTCTTGAAATTATTTCTTGTATTTAATTATTCGTAAATAATTTTTTGAGCTTGCAAGTACCTAAGGTTCAACTCGTACCCTGCCAAATTTGAAGCTCAGAGTCAGCGTTTATTAGCCTACTGAACCAAAGTCGTACTTGGCTTATATGTTCGCAATTTGGAGTTTTGTTAATGTGCTGTGAAAGTTAATTAACAAATTTACTTGCTTTGTTATATTAGAATGAAATCAGAAACCATATACATTATAAACTGATGTATAATTTAAGCGACATTATTTACTTATTATACGTTTTTGTTTCCAATGGACTTAAAAGTGTCAATTCTAGTCCATGCTAGTGAATATAACCCCATCTTCTGTTTAAACCACAATATTAAAGTGGAATAGCGTACATTGTTAGATTTTATGAACTCTTCTATTCAACTCTCTGTTATTAAAACTAACAAATCTAATAGACATCTATTTACATTAATGTATTATAGTCTATTTTTGTGCAATTTTATATATTTAACTACATATAACATAAGTCTTATTCAAATATATAATTCTAATAGGTTTCAACAGCTCCTAAAATATTTAGTCGGAATTTCAGGGTTTTTAAATTTATTCAAATAACTCTTTTATGTGTGATATTTTATTCTAATATTCGAAATTACTAAAGAACTCAAAATTAGGATCAAATTTTGTGCAATTACGACAAAATTTGCCTAATCAAGTACCATTTCCTTAACATTTTTTTTTATAATCTAATAATTTGCATTAAGTTACTACATAAATACTAATTTTCTTTCGATGTACTTCACATTTTATCTCAAGTTTATTCACTATCAAATAGGAAAATTCACTATTAAGAATTTCTGTGCACATCTATAAGAAAATTACATCAGCATTCAAAATTTCGAAAATTTAATAACACATATGATAAGTGATTCAGAAAGGTTCGCTTTGAACATCACGAAATGAACGAAGGATATTTGAAAGAATTTCCCTTGCACTACCCCCATATTGAGTCAATTTCCATTGACAACCCTACAGCCATGTTTACGAAATATATCAAAGGTCCATTTGGAACATTTCCTGCAATCCGGCATTTGCTTACCGAAGCCGTTGAAACATTATAAATTCATCCTCTTATTAGACTTAACAAAAGCATATATGGAATCCTTGTGATGAGAATGTCACCACAGTTGCTTGGGATTGACAACATCCTCATCAATGGAGATAACACTACGAACGAGCACCCACTTTACAAAGGCAGAGAGCATCATAAACAGAAAACACAAAAACACAAAAACGGGAAAAAAGTAGAAAAAAGTAGAAAAAAATAAAAAAAAGTAAACAAGCTGGATAACAATTCCTGCTGTCATGTACACAAACAATCATTATATACCAAGATAGTATGGTAGTAAGGTACTAGTATATAACGCCATGTACATCGGTACATAGCGCGCAAAGCAACGAAATTGGAAAAAAATTACAACAAAAACAAACACTAAGAAGAAGTAAAACAACAACATTTTGCACAGCTATTATGTGCTGTGCAAAATGTAGAGATGAATATTTTTAACGAAGGACATGCAAGGCACTTACAGCTCTTACGGCTGTAAGGCTGCCTGCACAAGGGTATAAGGGTATAAGGGTGTAAGGGTGTAAGGGTGCAAGGGTGCAAGGGTAGGAAATACGTTTAGTAAGTAAACAGCGCCAAACTGCTACAAGCTACAAGAGCAAATATGGCAGCCAACACCAGACTTCGACACGTAAAGTGACGCGTTGCTATGACAACGCGGACCCTTCACTTTGTGCCATAAACTTTTCCTTATTTTTTAATATTTCATAAAAGATTTTTATTTTTTTTCGCTTGTTCTTTATTTAGCAGTTGCCATTCAGGACATGCAAGTAAAGTACATAGGCAAACAACTGACTAGCAATAGACAAACGGACAGACACACAGACACACAGACAGGCTGTTAGACTGGCAAGAATATGCACAAATTGACAACATACAAATTAATGAATGCCCGAGCAGAATGTCAAGCTGCCATAAGCGCTCGTCAAAATGAAGTAAACCTAAGCTTGGCAAGGCGAAGCCAAACAAATTCAGGTTGGTGTGCGCTTTCACAGCGCTTTCAGAGCGCATCGTCACCACTTGAAACACCCAAAAATCAACTAAAAACGTTGTGCGACTACAATTTTAACTATGAATTTTTTTCTTCCATCAATTCTACATACACCGAAAGCATCCAAAGTACTTTTGAACTTTATTAGCAATGCCATGACGATGCCATTTTTTAATTGTGCTACATTTTGAGGATTCATATTAATTGCTGTGAACGAACAAAAATTACGAAACCCAAGACTTTTCCTAAAAACTATAATTAAAAAATTTTTTTATAATTTTATTATCTATGATATAGATCAGAGCTGTCCAGACCAAGTTAGATCGTGGGCCAATACAAATCACTGAATATAGGTTGGAGGTCCAAATAAATAAATATATACGTTCATAATTTTTTCTGCGAAAAATAAAAATACGGCAGTATTGATCAATTTAGTTTTATTAATTAATTAATCTTAATTAATTAACAATTCTATCTATCGTTATCAGCATTACTATATTTGTATTGCAATACGAAAATTATTTTACTTTTAATGTGACGTTAAAATAATGTTATACAAAGAAATATATACTAAAGTCTTCGTCAATTAAGTAACATTACGTAAAGTGTATAAATTACTTAAAACATTTTAATTTATTATTTGAGATACTATAAAAATTAAACAAAGTGATGTTACGAAAACATAACAAAGAAAAATTTGCCTAACTATGGTAGATTGGAAGCACGAGGCCCGTGGGCCGTACTTTGAACACCCCTGATATAGATGAATGAGTATAAGTTACTAACTATACTAGGTGGATTGAGAATTACCTGACTTTTCAACAGGTGGTAATGCCAAAACAAAATCAATCATATTTTGTATATCTGGCAAGTTTTAAACGACAGCTGTGAAAGCTTTCACTTTATCGGATGTTTGATTAACTTTTTGCAAATAATTGAAATAATAATTGAATAATTGCGACTTAGTGAGTTTTTTATGAAATGGAAAAAATTGAATATCGTTCAGTAAAAAAATTCCTTCATTTCAAAGTGAAAGTGGAATTAGTTTACAGCAAACTTGCACCATGGTTAACAACAATTAAATATTGGAAGGCTGAATTTGAACGTGATCTCACGAGTGTTTTTGATGAAGAGGGTCCGCGTCGTCCAAAAGAGATAGCAACTGAAAAAGACACAGAAAAAGTCCACGATATTCTGTTGGATGATCCAAAATTAAATTGCGTGACAAATATATCATATGAATGTATATCGAATAATTTATATAAATATTTAGATATGAAAAAGCTTTCGCCAAGATGGATACCACGTTTGGTCACAATTGCTTAAAAACGACAACGACTAAATCATTCAAAACATTGTTTGGAAATGTTTATGCACAATCTAGCTAACTGTGACCATTGAGTACTGATAATTGTTGAAACATGGATCAATTGCTGCACACATAAAAGAAAACACCTAGCCAGAGAATGAGTAGAACCCGGGAATAGTGTTCGCAAATGACCACGAATCTAACAATCGGCTAAAAAGATTTTGGGTCCCATATTTTGGAATTCAAGTGGAATAATTTTGTAGACGATTTGAAAAAAAGAAAAATAATAAGACTAGTATTGTATATTGTTGGATCGATTGAATAAGGAAATCAAAAAAACACAGGATAATGTACCCGCTCACACGTCAATGAAAACGTGTGAAAATGCAAAATTATGTTATATGAATTACAGTACGTATTGCTTCCTTACCCACCATACATTTCAAATTTGGCTCCCAGTGATTATGTTTCCAAGCTGGAAAAGATGGCTTCAATGAAAGAGTTTTGCATAAAATGATGAAGTGGATTGGAAAACTGAGGTATATTTTGGAGAATCGTATTATTTAAAAAGTATCCAAATGTTGAAAAATAGTTGGACTCGGTGTCGAGCTAAAAGGGGACCTTGTATGTTAAGCATAAAATTTAAATGTCCAAAAAAATTGCGTTTTTATTACTTAGGTCGGGTATTTTTTAATCCACATAATAAGTTCTTCATCACAAAAAAGTAACTTTATTATTAAGTCAGTTTAAAGATATTATAAACACACTGACTTTTGCAAGAAGAAAAAAATTTTAATGTAGAAAGCGAGAGACTTAGTAAATACTTTATTATTTACTAACTCAGTTGGCCATTACAGATATGTGTGATCCTTGGCTACGTCCAGTAGTCTCCACAAGACAGCCCGATTAGTGGTTTGTTGTAGCCAGTCAGTAGTACCAAGTGCCTTCAATTATTGATCTTATGGTCCTTTTACCGAAGATGCAGGTATCCTCTAACACGTTTTCTACCAGCAGGTACCGAATTAAACATCTTTCTTGCCGGAGCACTTTTTTCCATTCGCACGCCATGATAAAACTCGTGAAGACGCTGAATTTTCATGCACGTAACTATATCAATTTAAAGGAGAGTTCAAGGAGCAACTCTTCATTTCATCGTTATCAAGGCTTATAGATAGTTTGATAATATTTTCTAGAGAAAACTCTTAACGCTTCTGCATCATACAGCAGGACAGACATGATAAGGGACTTGTCGAACGCTGTAATATTTAGTCTAGACAGAACTTTATTACTTATTTGTCTATCAAGCTCAAAATGACAACTGTTGGCAAGAGTGATTCCTCATTAAATCTTCAGGCTGAAAACATTTTTGGTGTTTGCTCTGGCTCCCAAATAAACAAAATCTTTCACAAATTTGAAATTACAGTTGTTATGTGGGTCCCAAAATGTTCAGAAAATTTATTTTTTGCTGAAGAAATTTTTTTATATTTGTATTTTTATATTTATTTATATTCTTATTTATTACAAGACATATTTGCTTAGCTTGCCTTTCTAAGTTGAAAAAAACCGCACTGTCGGTGCGGGTATTCAGGTCAATAATATCAATATGGTCGGCATGCGCAAGCCTTATTACATTATTACAAAGATTTTTGTGCTTTAGTATAGCACATTTTAATAATTTATCTATTAAGAAGTATCAAGAAGTTGATTGCGTATTTGTTAATATATTAATTTAATTCAATTAGTATGTGTGGTTGTTTGACTCCAAACTCCTAAAAGTAGTTTAGACCTCTGAATAAAAATATGTAAAACAACTTACAAGTTCACTTATAATGAGAAGTTGTCCATATCAATTTTAATCTATTATGGCAAATGTTATTAGTTTAGACAAAAACCAAGTTGAGTGATTATTATTTTAAACAGTGAAATTTGATTTTTCTTCATGTTTGTTTGTTAAATAAATCGGTTCAGCTAATACAGAATTTTATTATAAAAATTTTAATTATGCATAATATTGTAGTTGTTGAATCATAATCATCAACTTTCTTTAGTTCTACAACTTACAGTAAGTTATTATCTATATTTGCTTTCTTAAGTGTTTCAGAGTACCAACCTTGTATATTTTCGTAAAAACACTTTATATACACACTTTTGCTACATCACCTCTCCTCTTCCTCACTGGCATTTAACTATTGCAACAAATTAGTTGCCATATCTCTCTCTATGTCACTCACTTTTCAAAATCAAATAATGAGGACATGACAGTATTATATGATAACCATCCTCTTTGTTTGTGAATAACAGTAAACAAAATTAACATAATATTGTGTGGTGTGTTTGGTAGGATTAAAAGGAAATTTTTTATTCCGAACCAAGTGAAATAGTTAATCCGATTTTTGCTCAGAACTCTACAGCTTGAACGAAACAATCCATAAAAAGCGATCTGAATTAGCCTATGGAAAGAAAGTCATTTTTCATCATAGCAATGCTAGATAACACACATCTTTAATAATTTGGAACAAATTGACCGAATTCGGTTGGTAAGATTTTATGCATCCACTTTATATTTCGGACCTGGCACCATCTCACTACCATTTATTTCGGTCTGTGCAAAACTATTTTAATGGTAAAACATTGACCGACCGTAGAGCCGCCAAAAATCACTTCGCCAATTTTTTATCAATAAACCATTAAAGCTCTACACCGATGGTATTAGAAAGCTAGCTGAAAACGACGTTATAAATAATTATAACCAACATTTATATACTCGATGTTTAATAAAGAAAATTTTTGTTGAATAATCTATCAAAAAACTGCGACTACTTCTATACATATATATATAATGACTCTCTTCTTTTTAATTAAGGACTTTGTAGTTTAGTCTTTCTTTAATATTTTTTAAACTGAATAATATTTCAGTTTCTAGAAAGAGGAAGACATAAAATAACACTAATTATCATAAAGTAATTTTTAATTGGTAGTGGTTTAATAAAGTCAATTTTAAAGTATTATAATCTGCAAAACTCCAAAATTTAGATAATCTAATGTAATCTAATGATATCTGAATGACTAAAATTTTAATATATACTATATAATTAATAATATTGAAGTTATTTGAGCCAATGCACTTGAGATCTTTTACTCTTTCTTAACTCGAGGTATTTTTAAAACCCCTCTTTACGCCTTGACTGGATTATTGTTTAACACTTCATCAGACTAAGCAATAATTGACCTCAGATCTGCATACCTCCCCGATGAGCCTGTAACCATTCTAAGATTTGATAACGCGGTGTTGGTAAGTCTGTCAGTTTTCGCAAATAATTTCAGGGCTCTATCTTTTATGTATTTTTTGATGGGATCAATCTTGAGGTCCCTGAGGATGTCATTCGTCCTAATGTAAAGTATATTTTATAATATATATATACTACTTGGCCATGCCATTCTTACTCAATTTTTAACAGAAAATCGATATATGTGTAATGAACACATTTACCAGCGCAACGCCATCTGACGTGACTGTAACTTCAAATCCTTCAGTCAATTCATAAACTGTGATTATTAACAAATATCAAAAGTCATATATATTCTGCGTAATAAGTATCTGGAATTTATAATTTGAAAAATGTCACAAAAACTTTTCTATATGTTAATGGTACCGTACTCTGTTTGCATGAGTTTTTTCAGAATCGGTTTAATACCCGATATGGTATCAGCTCTTGTGATATTTTTTTATTTGTGAAATTAAAATTTCCAGACTCCGGCATTATAGAACAATTGCTAAAGGATGTAATGGGCTTTAGTGTATAAAAAATCTGTGAAGATTTAGTTCAAGCATTGGCATATTTAGAATTGAGTCTCACTCGGTGGGAACCTACTTTCAGGCCAACGAAATAAATTTTGATTGTTATACAATTTCGGTTGATTCATAATTCAATGTACTTAGTTGGTTTTTTTTCTGTTCTATTTGATATGTTCTGAAAAATGAGTTCATCATATATAATCTATAATATAATTATAATATATTATATTATAATAATATAATATAATAATTTGTATCTAATTTTAAGAACTTCTGCTGCTAAGTTTTTAATAGATTGATGTATTTAAGCTTCTTCGCTATATATTATGTATACATTTATATCAATATTTTAGATTGTCATATTTGCATAGATAATATTAACATAATATAAGTCACTATTACCTACTATAGTTAACATTCTGTTTTCAGCAATTATTATTGTACTTAAAATATCGCTATGACAGAGTATACCCATTGGTTTATTCAATTATCTTATGGCTTCATATGGAAGCATCAAAATTACTGAAAAGAAAAAACTAAATAATAGAAAATGGATAGATAGTAGATGAATTCTTCAAAGCGCACCAAAGTGATGAATTTATCCGTCATTTTGTGTGTCGTTGCTGTTGTTGTCATTGCCCCAATAATTTTCCAACATAGCAGTGGAATGAGTCACTATAAACGATAAGTACAACGGAACGTTGCCAGAACCATAGCGCCATAGCGCCATAGCACCATACACAACGTTTGCCATGTTTATATGGAAATGTTTTTTTCTCGAGCACCACATAGACTAGTTCAACTTCATGTCAAAAGCAGTGTAAAGGTTCCCACTTTGATGTATCTGCACGTCATATTTATATGAGAGTAATGTATTTACGCAAGTATGGCAGTAAGGACTCATACATAATGCAAATGGTGTAATATTTTGAAAAAGTTTTGTTGTTCAAAAAAATTGTACAGAAAAAAAGATTTTAACATAATTTAATAATGACGGCATGGCACAGTATTTGACGAAATTTTAAATACGTTTGTAGGACGTATATGTCAATTGCAGAACTAATTTGTGATAACACTTTTCACATCGGAATGGTTTCAAGGGAAACTAAATTATAACACAACCAGCAAATAAAAATTTTACTTTTACACGAAGTTATTTACTATTTTAATAGGTTATTCAAAAGGTTCATAGAAAGCCATCCATTTAGTAGTGAAACCAAA